CCTATGGTTACGAAATAGACTCACCTTTGTGGATGATTTTCATGCAGGATGGGTCTATGTTGGCCTCTTCACTGATTCGTTGCCTCAACTGCCCCAACGTAGAGATCATGTCATCCCCATCTCCTATTTGTACATCGAATGATTTTGATCCAACGCTGACTTTAACCATAGCCTGTAATCATAATTCATGAAATTTCAATAAAGCGAAAATACATGCGCAAAAAGTATCGAACGGAAAATCACAATGTTTCCAATGAAAAAGCAAATTATGCTAGTAACAGCCAAGTAACCTCATTTTGTACTTACTGAAAGGAGATTAAAACTGCACAAAGGAAAGCATATTTGATGTTGTAGAAGCAAACTTTTGCCAGAAAAACAAAAACTGATTAAGAAATAATCTTCGAATAACGATTTGACCATTATCAGCACAGTCAAGATCAAAATCGAGACATTTCTCTCGGCATGGACGAAAAGAAAAAGATAGAGACATGACAATGCACTGCATTCATTATTAACAAAAAATCGATATGCTTATAGCAAACACGAAAAACAAAGAACTGAAGATCGAATATGACCAAAAGACCTTATGCTTGGTGTTAAGGATGTCTAGATAGCTACCAAGCTCATTAAAATGGAGGAAAACGAGGGAGGCGGATAAAATTTTGACATTTTTGAGTCCGTCTCCATGGGTCCGTGATTGCGGAAAAGATAAAAATGTGGTTCTTTCAACGTTCTGAAGCTCTAATTTTGTTCAACCGTACTTAATGTTTATCTAACTGTTATCCACATATCTAGATAGTTTGTGTTCAGTTGCTTACGAAGTTTCTAACAATTTCCCGTCTCCTATCGCAGCTATTTGTGATTGAAGGAAGTTCACGAAACTTTTTTTGCACTTCGATGTTGGCTTTGCATCTCTGTTTGCAAAATACTTGCGATCAAAATTTAAAATGATCTAGTCTTGTTAAAACTCGGCAAAACCAAGGCTAGACCGAATTTTGACGCTTCCTTTGGTGCCCGTTTGCCACGTTTGCCAGCTCAGAGTTCTCATTCGCCGCGAAGGACGTGGTGGCCAATAAACTATTTTGAGTCGATAAAAAGCTAATATTTTTGGA